CCTCCCCCAATTCTATCAGGGAACCTCTGGGAAGTCTGTTGGGCAGACTTCACACAAGCACTGTGCTGACTCTTAGAAATGCACAAATGAAGACCATACACGGGGAACCTGCCACTAGGTCCCTGGCTGGGTCTACACTAGTTCAAAGCCGCACAACAGAAAATCTTAGCCCTTACCCAGGGTAAACCTGCCTTTTTCTTAAAAGACAAAATAAGTAGGAAGTCAGAATAACTCTCTGGCTGACCTGCTACTTGAAACAGCATCTTCTAACTTGGAATCATTTGTTTATTGTCATAATTAAACTTACCGGAAATGGTTGTGAAGTTCCCTTCTTTATCTGGTTCTAGAAGATTGGAGATGACCAGTCTGACTCCAGTAGAATGAAAGGCCCAGGGGGTCTCCTCGGCACCCAGCAGCGAGTTCAGCACCTGCTGGATATGTCATTTATAGAGAGGAGGCCATAATGAGGTCAGACTTGCCTATCAGTGACTTCAGATAATTGTGTCTCAAAGACCACTTTGTGCTGACTTGCTTTCAATACTCCAGGGCAACGCTGTGACTAAAGCTGGGGTGTCCTCCTGGGGGTGCTGTCCCTGAAAGGGAATCACAGCAGTGAGAGCGAGTCTGGCCCAGGCCTGAGGCCGTGCCATGGCTGGAGTCCTCAGGGCCTCCCAGGACTTCCTGGTGCTGCCCTCTGTGGAAAGGGCAGGATAGAGAAAGCAAGTGGGATTTCTCCTTACAGAGCTTTCCAATTGGTAAAGGAGGAATGGAAGAACTAGGATATCGTCATTTTTATGTGACTCAGAAATCCCAAGTGAATGATGACTACTAGTATCACCAAAATATAGACAACCAGACATTATATGCCTCATGATAGGAGTGCATGCCATGGCCTGGGGAGAATTCTTGCCCCACAATCTAACTGTGTCTGACCCAAATTAGATGTCATCACCAACTTACAGGAAATGCAGGGGATCCAAGACACAACCAATAAACTCAGGATGTGGGGAACTCAACGACAAACCATCTAGTTTTTTTCAGTAAATACATTGCAAGGAAAAGATATACAAGAAATAGGAGGAACTATACATTATAGATTAAAATAGATTAAATGGACCTATCTATCAATTGCAGTGCATGGATCTTGTTAGGAGACACACACACACACACACACACACACACACACACACGTACCTCAATTGGTGGAATTTGGAAATTGACTGAATATGTCACGATGATATGGCATTATTATTTATTTCCAAGATGTAATATGATATTGTGATTATGTTTTCTAAGATAGTCCTTATCATTTAAAAATATGTACTAAAATACAGATAAGAAAGGAAATGAGAGAGAGAAAGGAGGCAGGAAGGGAGGGAGGAGGGTGGGCCATCTCCAAGAGAACTTGTGTTATAGAATTTCTGACATAGAGAATTGAGAAGAGAGGCCCCTGGTGCATTTTACACAAAACTGGGCCACAAACTTGAAAACCTCTGAGGCGTAAGACCTGACATGCCCACTCATGGGCCAAGCATCAAAGGTGAGGAGTTGGGGTCTGAAAGCTACCCATGACCATCTCTGTGAGTCTGATTTTGGGAAGGATATAAATGGAAAAATTCATTTTCTAAGCGTTAGTATTATGACCACCTCCGCCAGAGTTCATTTATTCCATAAAGCAAAGGATGCCGGGACTGTAGGAAACACAGCCCTGTTTCAGCGGAGAGAAAAGTGAAAGCACGAATCTCATTCCAAAGAAGGACCCGCTGGGCCACCCCGCAGCATAGGGAGCCTTGTCCGGGATGGAGAGGATGAGCTCAGCCACTATTTACTGAACTCTTAGCCCAGCTCTCGGCACGTCCTGCCTCACGTCACTGGTGTCACAGCTCCGCGATGACACCATGGGTCTATCACTCTGCTTTCCAGCCGAGAAGAAACCAGAGCACAGTGTAACTTGCTCAAGGCCAAAGTGGCAGAGCTGGGACTCCCTCTAGACCCCACAACTCCTTCCCACTACAAGGCGCTGCCCACCGCGCAGCTGTGGGACATGTGAGAAATGCCTTGAGGAGTGGAGCCAGGGGCCAAGGTGTGTTACTGTGTATGTTCCCCCATGTCCCGCATGGGTCAGGGTTCAGGATCTGGAAGAGGAGCCACACACAAATGAAAGAGACTAGACAAGAGATCATTTGGAAATATTAGGGGGCCAGGCGGGCAAGCCCAACTCAAGTAGAAGAACTTCTACTGGTGCCCAGGCCTCGTCAGCCTTTTATTCAATTTTGGATACACATCTAGCTCTTCGTCAGGCAGGTAATTGCGGTTAGCAGACAGACTATCTTAAAGGTCAGTAAATATTAGAAGGATTTACTCTGAGACTATTTGATCAGGAAATAACTTGAGCCCCCATTGTCAGGACGAGACAATTGGTGCATAACTCTGGCCCTTGCCATGGGTTCAAGGTTCACCAGCATTCCAGGATCCTTGTTTGCACTTCTCTGCTAGTGAAGACAATAGGCAGTCTCCTGCATGTTACCACTTGGCTGATAAGGCACAAAGCACAGGGTTTTTGTCTTTTGTCTTTTGACTGTTTGTGCTACCTTCCTCCAGGCATTCCACTCTAACCCTTCTCTTGCCCACGGCTCAGCCTGCCTGTCTTCTGAGAGTGCCCCTCAGGCCATTGGATCTCTCACAGGAGCCTGGTGATCTTCACTCATTGGTGCTTCTACTGGTTCTTTTGCACAGGAGCCCATGCATAGGAGGCCCCAAAGGGCGAAAGGTCCCCCCTCTCCCAGCTAACTTTGGGAAAGTTAAGTAAAGGGCCATTTTAAATTACTTTTTCTAGAAGGACTCACATTTCCCCTTTATTATTATTATTATTATTATTATTATTATTATTATTATTTATTTTTTTTACAGAGAGGAAGGGAGAGGGATAGAGAGTTAGAAACATCAATGAGAGAGAAACATCGATCAGCTGCCTCCTGCACACTCCCTATTGAGTATGTGCCCGCAACCAAGGTACATGCCCTTGACCGGAATCAAACCTGGGACCCCTGAGTCCGCAGGCCGATGCTCTATCCATTGAGCCAAACCAGTTATGGCTTATTATTATTATTATTATATTTTCCCCACTGTAATCCTTATATTATCCAGAAATCTCTGACTTTCTGAATTCTGTACTGTGACCCAAATCTCTTAGCTATAGATTTCCATTTTTATTATTTTAAAAATTTATTAATTACACAAGAAATACATGCTCAAGCACAGGATTAACAGCCACCTGTCAACTATAGAAGGGTGGCCAGCTAGGAGGGTAGGCTCCTTCCTTATTGGGAACAGATGGATCTTGACTGACAATTGGCAGGTGGCCCCTTCTTAAGGACATTGAGGGACACAGGTCTATAAGAGGAACATGCCCTTAGAGGGGCACAGGCTGCCACCAGCTGGGGGGGGGGCAGCCCCGCCTTTCTCTACGCCTGGGTCACGGTGACAGCTGAGAGCTTTAATAGAGTGAAGGGCCTTGGAATGTGGGCTGAGGAAGCCGCCCAGAACACGGAGTCTATTTCCACCCGGCCAGTAATCCCACCGCTAAAAACAGAGAGGCTGAGAGGCCCTGCGGCTGCTTGCTGGAGCCCCGCCGGCGATCCGGTTACCCCCCGCAATGCTGAGACATTCCGGAGGCGCTCAGGGCCCGGCAGCAGCCCCCGGGAGCAGGGCCCAGATGGCGCTGGGTATTTTTAGCTAAGATGTTTCAGCCCTTCCATGGCAGTGAGCAAGGAGCCCCGGCGCCTGGGCATGGGGGCCTTCTCCATGTTCTCCCTCCTTCAGGAGCCTCGCAGAGATGTGGGGAGCAGGTAATAGGCACCCCAGGCCACCTTGGTCAAGTACCCTGACACCAGCTTGCTGAGAGAAGGGGCAGCTTCGGTAAAGAACATGGACTGCTGTCACCAGCACAAGGCAACCCAGTGACCCAGCAATACAACTAAATGAGACCGAATGTGAAGCTCAAGGACAGTGAAGGAAATATAAATCATAATGATGAAAAACAGAGTCGTGGGAAACTGAGGAATGGGATGGGTGACATGCTTTTATAGCCCGAGACCAAAAGAAAGTCGATTCCTCTAGCAATGAGCACAGTGGTGTGTACACAGCAGGTGCTCAATGAGTGCTTGAACTGGATTCCTAGGAGAAAAAGTGAAGTGGTGGGGGAATCAGGTGCCCTGGAGTAAAACACATGCTTTCTATGCTGATCTTCTGCTCCGCACAGCCTATAGAATAAAAGGCTAATATGCAAGTCGACCAGTGGAACAACTAGTTGCTATGATGTGCACTGACCACCAGGGGGCAGACACTCAACGTAGGAGCTGCCCCCTGTTGGTCAGTGCACTCCCACAGCCAACCTCCTATGGCCGGCCAACCTTCTGTGGTCCTTCCCCCCTGACCAGCCAGCCCAGATTGCCCCGATCAGGACTGGGTGAGACAGCCCTCATCAGCCCTGATTGCTGGCCAGGCCAAGGAGCCCCACCCATGCACAAATTCATGCACCGGGTCTCTAGTCAGTGATAAAAACCATAATAAGCCAGAAGCCGTTCTTCACAAATCTGTGAGCAATCCCAGCCATGAACTTGATTTTCTTGGCTTTCTGAAGCAACGGGTGTGGGCACAGCTGTTCACAATCCCCGGGCTGATAAGCCTGAGGAGGGCATCAGGTATCAGAGGAGGCCCGAGGGGGCGAGGTGCTGCCCTGTGGAGCAGGAGCCTACCAGCTGCTGTGCCCAGCACCAAAGCCCCCACTGGCCCCGGGCTTTGCTGCCTGGAACTCCAGGTCTGGTTTCTTTACACATTTACTGGCTCACCTATCATTTACCGACTGCCTACTACGTGCCTGAGAACAGGAAGCAGAAGTCCCCAAGAAAGCTAGACCCGGAAAAGGGAGACGACGCCTGGTTTGAAGTCCCAAGGCTGGGAGTGGGGAGGGCAGGTGGGTGGGTGGAGGGACAGACCTTTCCAAAAAGGGCTCATCCTCAGTCCCATGCGAGATTAGCATCACAGCAGCTGCTCCTATTTGGGGCCTGGGTCTCTGACCCGTGGGCAGCAGGTGTGCAGACCTGAAGAACAAGGCACAACATGTGGGTGCTGAGCATGCGGGCATCCTGGCATCATTCCTGGGGGCAAAAACCAGCCTTTCACAGAATAGTTCTCAGCCAGAAACATAACATTTCCTTCTTCTTTGCTTCCACTGTGGCCATCTGACCCGTCTCCTCTGCACCCCAGGCTGCTGGTGTGGGATGGGAGCCCCTCTCTGGGTTACAGAGGGCAGGGGACATGTTCTACTCACAGCTCACATTCCGCTCCAGGAGAAGCCTGGAGCAGAGCACAGTTGGGGAGGCAGAGAGAGGCTGCCCGTGTCTCAGAACCCACCTTAGCGTCCGTGCCTGGCTGTGCTGGGGCCAGACACCGCTGGAGGCCCTCCTCTGACGTACAGTATCTACCACCAGGCACAGGTCCCTGAGGCAGCGAAGGCCACCGCCTTCACACGTGATGATCCCTGTTGGAAAGTGGATGAAAAGGACACAAGTTTTTACTTTTGAAGTGACTTGCTTTCAGTTCCACAGCAGATCCAGACCATAGCAGGGTCTTATGTGTAGTGTAATCATGTAATCAGTGATCTGTACTTATACACTGATTGCATTTGGTGTGGCCACAATTAGTCTCCCATGGCCAAGGGGGCTCATGCTCACCTTTAAAAAATATTCTGATTGATTTCAGAGAGGAAGGGAGAGGGAGAGAGAGATAGAAACATCAATGATGAGAGAGAATCATGGATGGGCTGCCTCCTGTACACCCGGGCATGTGTCCTGACTGGGAATCGAACCTGACCTCCTGGTTCATAGGTTGACGCTCACTGAGCCACGCAGGCTGGGCTTGCTCTCCCCTTTTGGGAGGTTCCCTGGGACAAGGCTGGGTAAGAGCCATTGCCGTTGGGAAGACCAGCACTTCCGCTGGGACCTCGGCAGGTTCTGCTGCAGCCAGAGGGAGCCTTACAGACGTGGCTCAGCCGCGTTCCTCCCCTTCCTCCCTGTTCCTCCCCTTCCTCCGTGTTCCTCCCTGGGAAGGAGTCAGAGGGCAGTACCGGCCAGGCTGCCCCCAAACCCGGATCAGTCCTTTTACTGATGAGGGACCCCACACTTCTGAACCCCAAACAGCTCCACAGGCCGGTTTCCCATCCTGACTCTGACCCCAGAGCCACTTCTGCCGCCTGAGAGTGAGTGCTGACTCCTGGGCTCCCCGTCCTCCTTCCCTGAAGTTCTGTGCCTGGGAGCCTGACAGTCTGTTGCTTTGGTTTTTTTCTCTGGAACCTGGGGTTGAAGATGGAGGCGGGCCTTTTTCGTGGCGTGAGCCGTCTCGGTACGGGACGATTTACAGCGGTCCCAAGGTGAAAGGTGGTTGGAAGGATTGCCGTTACTCCACGGCACAAGGAAGAGGCCGTTTCCACAGGGGCCCCTCCTCCCTCTCAGGGTCTCCTTGTAGCTGCTTTGGACTTGCAGGCTGGTGATGTGAAGGGGGACCCACATGATCCACAAGCCCTTTGGCCAGAAGAGCGTGTAGGGTCAAGGCAGCCGATGTCACCGCCGAATCTGTTCAAATTAGTCCTCAGTTCTGTTCAAAACACCCAGGGATCTATCAGGGCTCTGCCCAGGCACCGCCAGCGCCTCTGCCTCAGGTGAGCACTCACGCCTCAGAGTGACACCCGACAAGCCTGGCTGTTGTCTGCTCCCCCCACCCCTGCCACCTCCACCAGGGCCACCTCCACTTACTGAAATCCTAACGCACCTCACACTCTGTGGTTTCCTCCGGCCTGCCGGTCAGGCGCTGAACCAGCATCTGCACACTAGGGATTGAGATGTTGGTTTTTAACAGGCCCCAGAACCCTCGGGAAGGTTCCTTAGCACTCTTATCACTGGGCCCCCCACTTTCTGATTCTCAGGTTTGGGGTACAGCCCAAGACTTTACATTCCCAACAAGCTCCCAGGTCCCGCTGCTGCTGGCCGGGGAACCCACTTTGAGAATCACGGCCTTGGATAATTTCTCAGAATCTTTCCAGTTCCAAGAGCCTTTTCCCCCCCTTTCTTTAATTCTCTGACTGAAGCCTTTGATGTGTTTCCTTGTTAATCTCCTTGGACACTCACAAACCCCTATTCACCCACCCGAGGGTCTAATATTCTATGAATTAATTAGCAGCATATTATTTATATGCGATGTTATTTGACACAGGATCGTTCGTTCTAAAACTTTCAAGAACAAGCCACACACTAAGCTGGTGCGGTCACCCCCCCACCACCACACGCGTGGGGCAGGCCTCGCAGGAAGTGCCACTCCGGACGCTGCGGGAGGAGCCGCCTGGAGCTCCTGCCGGGGGCACGTTTTGTGTCTCCAGAGCTGCTCTCCCGACTAGTCCTGGCGTTAGAGACGTGGTCCCAGAACGCTGGCGAGGGCAGGGGCCACAGAGGGGGTCCGCACCCACCCTCTTATTTCCCAGATGAGGATGCAGAGAACAGGTGGCGGTTTCAAGGTCACCCCCACCTGCTCATGGCAGCGCTAAAACTAAAGGAATTTCCTGCCTGGGGGACCCAGCCCTCAGGACCGGTTAGAGGCCCCTTCCCCACCTCCTGGCCCATCTGTTCCCCAGTCCCAGCTGCCCCCCCTCAACTGCCACCCAGGAGTATCTCCCAGTGTGGACAACCCCGCTCAAGCCTCTGGGCCACCTTTGTCCATCTTTGCTCTGCCTGGCATCCCCCTTCACTCCCTGGCGCCCTGGGCTGCCGCTGGGTGGCGCCACTGCCCTGCCGGCCGTGCAGTCCTCAGCCAGGAGCTAAAGCAGGGAAGCCCGCTGGGGGCCAAGGGGACCCCAGGATCCGGCGAAGGGGGAGGGAGGTGGGGACGCTCTCCCTCTGGCTTCGCCTGCTCCTTGGCGGAGAAGCCCAGACAGCGCCACATCGGAGCCGAAGCAAAAGGAAAACCCACTAACACCATCCCGTCTTGTTTAAAATGTTGATATTTTGTTCACCGTGAAGTCATCTGCATTAATTTTGAATGAAAAATACTGTATTGAGATCGTAATATTATTTATTACCAAGTTTTCCCCCTTAAATTTTGCATCGCTTGCCTCACCCCAGCCCCTGCCTGGCCGGAGCAGGGTGGATGGTGCCAGGTGTTCGGAAGCTAATGGGAAGCTATTCCTGCCGCTAGGGGGCCACTTCTGTCTGAGAGACCCTGCTGCTGGGCTGGGGCAGCCCCCATGCGGGGGACGCGGGGGATGCGGGGTGGGGGGCGGGCGGGGGACCAGGCAGCCCTGTCACTGAAGGACCCAGCTCCTCTCAGGACACGCTCAGCCTCGGGAGCCCCTCAACCTCCCTGTGAACCCAGGTCCCCAAAGACTCCCGAATCCCAGAACCGCCACCGCCAGGCCACAGCAGGAGCCCCGCCATTGGAGAAGCCGGGTCTCCTGCCCCAGCCCTGCCTTCTAGAGTGCTCCAGTAGCGTCCTCCCTTGCCCTCAGTGTGGCTCCACTGGATTCATTTCAGGGGACACGGGTGCCTGTGGTCCCTCAGGTGCACTGTTTGGCTCCTGCTTCTTCTCTCCTGCTTTGGGAGGAACCCTTTTTCTCTTCTTTCCTTCATGAGCTCGAGTTCTTTACGGCCTCTGGGGCCATCTCTGATGCCCTGGAGTTTCCCTGGGCCCAGGCTCCCCTGCAGAGTGCCGTGAAAGGAGAGAAAGACAACAAGCTGCCCACTGGAGCGACAGGATGGCAGGGCCAAAGCTCTCAACCACTCCCTTAGAGCCCCCGGGAGCCTCAGACAGTCCCAGGCCCAGCCTCGCCCAAGGCCAGTGATCAGAATCTCAGGTGATACAGTCTTCCCCCTCCCCCCACCTGCCCCACCTGCCAGGAATCAGTAGTTTGTAAACCGCCTGGGTGAAAAGTTGTGCAGCCAAGAATGGGAACCCTGGCACCAATGGGCTTGGGCTCCTACCCAGCAGCGCTGCTACCTGCCACCTGCAGGCTGGAGCCAGTACTGCTGTCCACTGGCAGGATGGAGGGGGACAGGTGCAGGGGTGGAGAAGGGGGGAGCTGCACATGGACAGGGGAGACTTTAAGGCTTTCTGCCCACAAATGTTTCCTGAATAAACTCGCCAATGACCTCCAATCTAAGCCCTTCCAAAGACGCGAACCTCCACAGGCCACCATTTTCACGGGTGGGACCGCCCCCACTGGCTGGCTAGCCAGATGCTTTGACCTGCACCTGACATCTGCCTTGAGAACTCCGCTCCCGGGGCCCTGGGGCTCCACATGAGACACACAGAGAATAAACCCATTCTCCTGGGCCCTCAGCGGCATGAAACAGCTGCCAGGCCCTATGAATCCTGTCTCTTCGGTGAAAGAGCCCAGTTGCTGTTTCCTGGCTGTCCTCTTGGGGACATGTTCCACGGGTGATATCCCTTCATCATGGGAGACACCCAGAATTTAGTCTAAATTTTAAAATATAGAGCTAAGCCATTAATATTCATTCTTAAAATATATTTGTAGCCCAGTTGATGTGGCTCAATGGTTGAGCATCGACCCACGAACCAGGAGATCACAGTTCGATTCCCTATCAGGGCATGTGCCCCGGATGTGGGCTTGATCCCCAGTAGGGGGCATACAGGAGGCAACCGATTGATTATTCTCCCTCATCACTGATGAGTCTATCGCTCTCGCCCCCTCCCTTTCTCTTTCTGAAATCAATAAAAAGATTTAAAAACATATATACATATATATCTGTAAAACATACATTAGAAGTGTCCCTGCCCCTTCATTCCCCTCTCAGTCCCACCGTCTGGGTATGGGGTGTGGGTGGGCACCGTTGTGAGCAGGTTAGTTGCACCCAGCACTGAATGTCATATTCTTGCAACAAGAGTGAGATTTCCTCTCTGAGTCTCAGTTTCTTCATCTATAACCCGTAAACAATTACAGCACCTTTTCCAGAGATTAACAGTATGACACAAATAAAGGGCCAATCACAATGCCTGTCACATTTTAAGTGTTTGCTAAGTGCTAGTTCTTAAATGCTAACTGAATTGTCTCAGGCTATTGGTGGAACTAGACAGAAGCTAAAGTACCTTACTTTTCCTGATCATTATACTCGCATCACAGACGTATTGGGTTCATGTAGATGAGTAAAATCAGTCCCAAGGTCCCAAGGCTGAGGGCATGTTGCTAAGTTGTAAGTTAGAGTCTCCAGCGGGAATCCTAAACCAATGTGCATTTGATGGAGCTCACCACCAGAGGGCAGTGCGGGGTCACCTATGGCGGGACTGCATCTGTCAAACGCAGGGCCATCGAGCACAGCTGCTGTGGAGGCTGCCACAACTCTGGTCACCCTGTGTTGAGCCTGGGGTATCCTGCCTGCTGGTCCACCCAGGTCTGAGCTCAGCAGAGTGCCAGGGAGCAGGTCAGCATCTCTGGGGCCCATCTGCAGGTTAGGGCCACCTCAGTGTCCTCAGGCTGGG